ACAGTGTTGACTTTTGGAGCAGGTGGCGGAGGAGGTGGTGGTGGAGCGGCAGGTCCGGTCAGCGGTACCATAGGAGGTGGTTGAGTAGCGGCATTGCCAATGGGAGCGTAAATATTAGGATTAACTGGTGGAACGTGATGTCCAGTGCCAGGGCCGCTACTAACACTGACAGCACCACTCCCGCAAGTACCACCGCTACCACCGCCACCACCGCCGCCGCCGCCGCCGCCGCCGCCACCACCGCCGCCACCAGTGCTGTTATACTGATTCACCGCGTTTGATGGTGTTCCGTAAGGATTCGTAGCGCTCGCAACTGCTTGTATTTGGCTGTTGCCATATTGTGCCTGTGCCTGGGACACGACACTGTATTGTGACTGATTTGGTTGGCCGACACCGACGCTGACTCCGACACCTACTCCATACTGGGCAGTCGTCGCAGCTCCACTACTGGCGTACTGCCCGATCGAATTACTACTTCCATATTGACTTCCACCAGTACTACCAGCAGTACTATTACCACCACCGCCGCCATACTGATTCGCTTGTCCTGGTTGCCCACTAGGATACGCGTTACTAACTTGCCCATTGTTACCGTAGAAATTATTCTGATTTCCGGAGGAATACTGACACGGATTTTGTCCAACAACGGTGGTAGTCGCATACTGATTACTGTTTGACGTGGCTCCATACTGATTTCCTTGACTGCTACCATAAATCGACTGTACTTGAGACTGATTAGCTAGATTCGACTGAGCTGACGGGGATTGCGCGTACTGGTTCAACATCATAGGTGGCGGTGGTATCGGTGCATTAAAGTTTATCATAGTTGGTGGACACGGTGGAGCTGCTGTCGCCATAGGAGGCTGAGGAGGTGGTACCGGAGGTGCACCTCCGGTCGACATTTGTCCCGCACTAGTTCCCATACCACCAGTGACTTGCATCGACTGCATCACAGTTTGTTGCTGAGGTTGCGGAGCAGGTGGTGCCGACGAAGTTCTGTGATGTCCGGACTGCGGTTGCTGCTGCAAAGGTTGTGACTGCTGCTGCTGCTGCTGCTGCTGCTGCTGCTGTACTTGATGCTGTTGCTGTTGCTGTTGCGGAGGCTGTGGCGGCACTGGCGGTTGTGGTTGCGGTGGCACTGATTGCTGAGGTGGTTGTTG